CCCAACTTTGAAACTGCAATCACATAAATCAACACATAACACATGCAACCTCTGCATCAAGGACCCATGCTTCTCAAATAGTCATTGGAATGTATATTCTGCACTGGAAAATAAAGCACAGTATTATTGTTTCATCATGTCTTTGATGGCTAAATTATGGTTTTAATTCTCATTTGTGCTTTCCTGGTAAATAAAAAGCAACGATTTCCCTTTTCCATTCCATATGCTGGATCAACATTCCTTCGGCATCCACCTACAAGTTCCAATGCATAAAGCCATTTCATTTCAGCTGCTGCAGTGAAGCCAATAAAGCACTTGAATGTAACGTGTTGATTGAAATGTTGCAGTTCAATCTGAGTAAGTGACAGATTACACTCAATTCTCCCATTTTAAATTGAGAAACAGGCAAAGGGTCAAGGTCAGTAACTGAAGAAAGCAGGCAAGAGAACAAGGCAAGTGTAGATGTAGTTGTTAGATGATCCTAAGCTTACAAAACAGCCAATTGTAGGAGGAAGGAAAGACTTAGGAATTGCAGAGTTTTGAGATCCTGAAAGAGAATGAGTTATTAATTTGAAAACAGTGTTTACAACACAGCAAGGATGCAGAAAAGGTGATAGAGCAGTCTTTATGAAATTTAAGAAAAGCAAGAAAGCTTTGAGGAACAATAGTCAATAAAACAAAAAGTGTAAAAGCTGAAAGAAGGCTCAAAGATGAACAGAACTTGGAAACTAAGAAGATGACAACTAATGAAATATTCATAATTATTGTAAATATGTCAACAATCAGTTGTGGAAAAGACACACCATGTCACACAAAGTTTATCAGCAAATCTACACAAATTGAAATCTAGTCCTTTTTTTGACTTTGTTCTGCATCGTGAATTTGTGGTGTTAAATAATCTGAGGCCCTGAGAACTTAAATTGGAGATGAGATGCTCTGCAATGGGGCAAACTCAAAAGGCCTTTATCACATCTCTTCACAAGAAAAAAACAGCAACTTGCATTTATACAGGATCCTTCATATAGGACAATGTCTCAGAGCATAAAGACAGGGTCAGATACTGAGCAAGTGAGTGGGGGAAGAGGAGATATGTGACCACAGGCTTGATCGAAAAGTCAGTTTTAAGGCAGGACTTAAAATCAGATAGAGAAGGCAAGACGCAGGGAGTTCCAGAGGTTAGGGTGTAACATCTGACTGCATGGCCACCAGTGTCTCAGGCAGGATTTTGGTCCTGTCAAACATTTCATTGTATGAAGTTTCATTATTTAAATTTGTACTACACTACCCACAGAGATGCCATGCCAACTACAAAGATCCAATCTGTAGGGTTCATCTCCATTAATCCATGCCATTTACAACTCATTTAATATTCTCTACATTTAAATGACTTAGAAATGCCAATACTGAACTGATATTGCAAAATAACAAACTTAAGTCTCCTTACAACTCATTGCTTTTGACCAATTCCAGGTGATTTCCATGCTTCAAAATACAGCAATGAATTTCACCCACATAATACAGTCATACCACTTTACAGTGTATCCTGTGAAGCGCTTTGAGGCATTTCGCCAAATACAAATTATTATTATCATCCACTTCCCAATCAATTCATCTTTAAGCATCCAGTTTGTCATTGAATTTAATATTTTTTATGTTAATGACAACTATGAGAGGCTTTTTATAGATGAGTGCAGTCTGGCACTTTAGGATCAAATTGTATTATACCTACTTTAACTATATATGGCGTTTTGAATAATTATTTGTGTTACTACCACATGTACAGATTTTAAGAACAATGGTATCAGAGAGATGCTGTTAATATTGTTAGTAAATTATTAAATTATAAATTTATAAAACTGACTTCCAATTGTTGTTAAGTAGCCTTTCATACAAAGGCTGTGTTCAGCCTTGTGTTCAGATAACAACCAAATCACAAATTTTGTACAGAACTATTTGTGTTACTTTTACCAGCATAGGATTTGACATTTTAACTGTAACAGTATGTTCTCTTTCATCCGTCTCTTACAAGAAACATTTTAAACGGATGAACAAACATTCTGCCATTAGTATTTGCTGCATTACTTAGAAATTAACAAGTGACTTTTATTCCTGTTCTCTGAAAATTTAAACGATTTGCATTTGGCACCCACTGTATAACCAAAACCACAAGCATCTGAGGACCTACTGGATACAATTTTTGTATTGTCACTTTGAATGCACCAAATTCACCTGCGAAGCAATTCAAGATTATTCTTCCAATATTAAAACCATACTAAAATCAGGTCCTGTCTGCCTTATGAGTCAGGTGGGCACAAAGGGGCCATTTCTTTCTTCTCTTCCTCACCTTCTTTTAACCCTGCCTCTGTAAGATTCTGTAATTAATGTGTTAAATAATACCACAAACTATTTTTGAGACATATGATCAATCTCATATGATAGGAGCTGGTTGTGATTAGCTTCACAGAAGAAACAAGACTGTTTATAAACAAACTGTTTTCAGTCCTTATCAGTCATTTTCTCATGGAAAAATGGTCTACAGCTGGAGTTGTATTTGTGTTCCACAAAGGAACCATCTTGCAAAAGAGAACAGGTGATAGGTCACCTAACCAACTGTATAAATGGAGAGCAAGACGGAAAGAGAATTAGAAGAAAGAATTGGGGAACCATATTGGCGTTGTGAACCATATTCCAGCATCCAAGGAAGAAAGACCAAGACTACGATTTAAACAACAGTCAACGTATAACAATACCTGGATACTTTTGGTTGATCGAATTGAACATACAATAACACCTGGATAGTTTTGGGTGACTGAACATACAATAATACCTGTGAACGAATAGCGAACCTGTGAACTGGCTCCCTAGGGAGACGGTTGAGGCAGGAAGTGTTGGTTCTTTCAAACATAGATTAGATAGTTCTGTTTTAGGGAATAACGTAATGGGATGTTGTACATAGGTAGTTTGGGACATAAGTGCATGCGACCGCCAGGAAGGTGGAAGGTGAACTAGATGGACCTTGGTCTTTTTTCGTCTAGCATTTCTTATGTTTTTAACATCCATTTAATTCTAAATCAATTGTACTCTGAAGGCACATTGAGCCATTTATTATGTGTAAAGCACTGTATACATATAAGTTATTTCGACAATAAAAACTCTATGGCAGGTGATGAACATGCACATCTCCTCACTTATTTAATGCACTTTGAGGAAGTGCTCAAATGAGCCTCCAGACCTGCTGGTTGTGGATACGTTACTGAACGAACTGTGTGAACCATATCCAGGGCACACAGGTGCATCTAAGAAGTCAATGGCATCTTAGGATTGCAGCAGTTTTCCAGGTCCTTTAAAATTTGCCTGAATCCCAAGTGAATGTAATGCTCAGTTTCCATCCCCTATAAATTCTCAAAACATATGGGTTTTCCTTTTCAGTGAGACATGAATTACAGTGATTTGGAATAAGAGGATTTAGTGTTGTATGCAACAATAAAGCTAGCATGAGGTTTTCTTTCTGACAGGGCATCACTTTACAGCAACAATCAGGACCCTGAGAGCAACAGTACCTTATGTCATAAGCACCTTTGATGTGTATTGAAGACTCTAGATAATTGATGCTGTACTTCACGCACCAACCCCATCACCCCCTATTAAATAATGTATACGTGTGAACCACTACGGAATAAACAAATAGCTGTCAAATCTGTAAATGTCAGGTGTACCCCAGCCAAACAGTAAAACAAGACGACATCCTTTAAATCATTCAAGGTAATTCCAGGGGGTGGTCTTAACCATTTCTAAGCATTTCTCATCAGAGTTAGGATATTTTGCTGAGGCACAATAGCAACTGTACTGAGTCGATACTCAAGTTTACCAAGAATGTGCTGACTTATGAGGAGTGTGTGTGTGTGGGCGGAGGGAGGAAATCTGTATGTTATTTCACTATTTGACAAAAATAGCCCAGATCGCTGCACTAAGATCACAAGATTGGGATCACAAGGATAAGGCCCTTCGGCCCATCCAATTTCATCCTTCCAAAATACCCATCCTTCATCCCCCAACCCTGCAGCAAGCTGCTTTTCAAATGAGTCAGTGTGCTGGCCTTGACATCCATAGCATGACCACATTTTGTAAACCAAATCTAGGATACATGTGCAAAAAATTTAACTCACCACCATCCCTGATGCTGGCAATACTGGAGAAGCTTGTTGTATTAATGGCTGTATTTCTCTGATGAGCGTATCCGTTGCAGTGTTTTATTGTTCTTGCGCACCTTGTTGCCCAACTCAAAACGGCGCAAATTTGGCCCCAGGGACACAATACCTCATCCGGCGACTGTCCACGGAAATCGGGAATGTACGAGGCCGAGCTACTTTAGAACGCTTAACCTACGGTCTCTTGTTCTAACCAGCTCAGGGACGTGAAGCGCCTCGGGACGCCCCCCCCCCCCGACGCGAAAGGCGCTGTGTAAAGGTGACTGGCGTTTGCATCGCCTACGGCGGCGGCGGCGACGACAACAACTTGCATGTATAGAGCCCATTTCAGGCGGAATAGCGTCCAGGAGCGCTTGGAAGTGCTGACATGGTTGATATGAGGTGTGTGTGCGTGTGTGGGGGGTTACTTTTCCCAATCCCATTTAAAATATTGCACACACTTAATTGAACAGACAGAAAGACACATATACACACATACATATATACACACACACATACACATATATATATACACATACACACATACACCCACACACACACACACACACACACACACACACACACACACACACACACACACACACACACACACATACACACACACACATACATATATATACATACACACACATATATACACACACACATATATACACACACACATATATACACACACACACACACACACACATATACACACACATATACACACACACATATATATACATACATACACACACATACACACACACATATACACAGGAATGACAGAAGAGAGCGATGAGACCTCACCCTCCCTCACTCTCCGCCTCCTCGGAGCTGACCGACCGACTGGCACCTGCTGCGGCTCTGCCTCCATCCTCGGCCTCGCTCCTCCTCCGCCTCTTCCTGGCAGCCGGCAGCTCGCGGCTGGGGCTGGAGCCGTGGCCCCTGGTGCCGCGGGCCGGGCCGGGCCGCCTGGCTCGGGAGCTCTCGAGGCCGCGCAGACCGGCCAGGGCGGCCCTCAGGCCCAGCACCTCGCCCTTCACCTCCTCCACGCCGCCCAGCAGCGCCTCCAGCTTGGCCAGGATCTCGGCCTGGCGCTGGAGCTGCTTCTCGGGCCTGGCGGCGGGGCCCGAGTTCCAGCCCGGGGCCGCCTTCCGGTCGTTGTGAAGCTCGGAGCCGCCGCGGCGCCTCTCCCTCCGGTACCAGAGCACCGCCAGCGTGAGGCCGGCCGCCGCCCCCACACCCGCTCCCGCCAACAAGCTGAGCCCCACCAACCGGCCCTCCAGCTGCGCCATGGCCGCTGTCCCCCCCCCCACCCCCGGCCCTGCCCCGGGAGTCAGGCACCGGACAGGCGAGGAGAGCCGCCGCCGGCGAAAAGGCTGCTCGGCCGCGTTAAAGGGGAGGGCGGGAGGTGGCCGATCCCTTTAAAGAGGCTCTTCTGTCACACACCCCGCCCTCCAGCCTCTGGGTCCTAGTGCCCGCGGAACCCCAGCGGTAACACGGGGGCGGGGCGGGGCGCGGGGTTGGCGGAGTTAAGAGGAGTTTTGGGGGGGAGGGAGGTAAAAATAACAATAATCCTGACACTGATATAGCACCTTTCACGTCAGCGGGATTTTACTGCAAAGTGCGGGGGCTCTGTAATTTTTTAGAGAAACGCGGCACCTGGTAATAATGATAATAATAATACTTGCATTTCGTATAGCACCTTATCGTGTCGTTGAGACGTCTCAAAGCGCTTCACAGAATATACTTTGTGGGCAAAACTTCACGAGGTCACAAATTTGGTCTGGGATGAAGAAGGCCAAGACCAGATTAAGGGATAAGGGGGGATCAACAACATTTGGGGGGGCTTTTGAATGATGCACACAAAATACGCAAGAATACCTTTTTAAAATACTTTTTTTGCGTGACTTCATAGTTGCAAACTTGTTAACTACATGATCAAAACTTAGTATACATGTCAAATCATGCTCGTTAGACACGATTGCGAATAATAATAGTAATAATCCTTGAATGCATTCAACCTATCCTGGATCATTTGTAGATCTGAGTGAACTTTTGATAAGACTCATTCTTTGAGAATGAATCTTCATCTTTACAGACTGCTACGTGTTCAGAAGATACAAAGAGCAACAGCCACATTTGGAAATGTTGATCCCACCAAGTGATTCATTTTCCACCAAGGGTGGTGTGGGCCTCATCTCCAGGTCCTCACTGAGTCTATCCTCTTACTCCTCTGGATCCTTCTCCTCATTTGAGCACTTCACTCTCTACAATCCCTCCAATCTCTCCTTAAAAATCCTCATCTATCATTCCCCCCAAACCCTTCTCCACTTTCCTCTCTGACATCTCCACCCTCCTGCCTTCCCTCTATGTCTGTTCTAAAAGCCTCATCATCTTGGGCGACTTTAACCTCCACTTCACCCCTCTTGCTCCACATCTGTTGACTTCTCCTCCTTCCTCTCACAACCTCTCCCTTCACATCAACTCCACCACTCACATCCATGGCCACCCACTAGTGATCACCTGGGGCCTTACTGTCTCTGTACCATCTCTGATGTCACCATCACTGACAAAGACACTTTAGATCACTATTTTATCTCCCTTAACTCCTCAATCGCCCTACTAACTGTCCCCTGCCACTGTACCCATCCCCCTAAAGAGAGCCGTCATCACCCCAACCCCTAAACGTTCCCTTGACCCATCTCTGTTCTCCAACTACAACAACAACAACTTGGATTTATATAGCGCCCTCCACGCCGGACGGCGTCTCAGAGTGCTTTACAATAACGGATCCCGGGGCCGAGCCAGGGGGAGAGGGAGGAAGGTGACCAAAGACGTGGTTGAAAAGAAAGGTCTTCAATAGCGACCTGAAAATTGGAAGGGAGGGAGCGAAATGAAGGGCCTGAGGAAGGCAGTTCCAGAGCCTCGGGGCATAGTGGCTGAAGGCACGGCGCCGAGGGTGAAGCGGAGTTCTCGGGGGACGAGGAGGAGGCCAGACCCGGAGGAACGAAAGCAATGGGTTCTGTTTTGAGGAGAGGAGGTCAGAGAGGTAGGAGAGGAGAGGAGTGCAGGGACTTGAATACAAGCATGAGGATCTTGAAATCGATCCTCTCTGGGATAGGCAGCCAGTGCAGTCTGGAAAGGACTGCGGTGATCGGGGAGCCAAGTTTCGTGCGGGTGAGAATGCGGGCGGCAGAGTTTTGAATGATTTGGATTTTATGGATGGTAGTGGATGGGAAACCAGCGAGGAGGGCGTTGGAGTAGTCCAGCCGAGAGGTGACCAAGGCATGGAGCAGGTTTCAGCGGCTTTTGGGGAGAGGTATTGGCGGAGATGGGCGATGTGTTGGAGGCGGTAGAAGGCAGTGCTGGTGAGGGATCGGATGTGGGGGAGGAAGGATAATTGGGGGTCGAACCTGAGGCCTAAGTTGTGTACGGGTTCGGAGAGTTTCAGGGGGAGGTCGGGTAGGTGGAGGAGGTGAGAGCTACCGCCCCATTTCAAACCCCATTTCAAACCTTCCTTTACTATCAAAGGTAATGGAACAAGTTGTGGCTTCCTAGCCTCGCTCTTTCCTCTCCCAGCATTCCCTCCATGAACCCCTCCAATCTGGGTTTTGTGTTGCTCACAACACAGAGAGCCCTGGTCAAAGTGACATATGACATTCTGTTCACCTGCGATCAGGGCTCTCTGTGTCCTTGTCCTTCTCGACCTCTCTGCTTTCAATATACTGTTGACCACTCTATTCTCCCCAGCCTCTCCTCTCATCTCCACCTCAATGGTTCTGTTCTTGCTTGGTTCCAATCCTACCTTTCCCACCATCTGCACTTTGTGGCCACCAATGGCTTCTCCTCTAGCATTGTCACTTGTGGTGTCCCTCGGGGCTCTGTCCTCGGTCCCCTCCTCTTCAATCTATACATGCTTCTGGTCGGCAATATCAACCCCAGGCATGGGGTCAATTTCCACATGTATGCGGATGACACCCACCTCTATCTCGCCGCCTCCACCCTCGACTTCAGGACCATTGATGTCATGGCTAATTGTCGTCTGACATCAAATGCTGGATGAGAGCCAACTTCCTCCAGCTCAATGTTGGCAAGACAGAGGCCCTCCCGGCAGTGCCTCCTCAGCTCAGCCGCTGACATTATTACCATTTATGGCTGCACTCTTCATCTCACTGAGCCAATCCGAAACCTCGGTATCCTTTTCAACCCTCAGCTATCCTTTAAATCCCACATTCGTGCCATGACCCGTTTTGCCTTTCCTCACTTTCACAACATTGCCCGCCTCCACCACTGTCTCCCACCGCAGGCCACTGAGACCCTGATCCATGCTTTCATTACGTCCCGGCCTGATTATGCCAACTGCCTACTCATTGGACTTCCAACTCTTCCCTCCACAAACTGCAGATTATTCAGAACTCTGCAGCTTGTGTCCTTTCCTGGACTAGGCTCTGGGAACCTATCACCCCCATTCTTGCCCGGCTTCACTAGCTCCCCATTCCTCAGAGAATCGAGTCCAAAAGCCTCGTTCTTACCTTCAAGGCCCTCCATGGTCTTGCTTCCCCCTACCTCTCTGATCTCATAACCCCATATCAGCCTGTCTGCTCCCTCCGCTTGGTGGACACCGGCCTGCTCCAGGTCCCCCTGCACTTCCCACCCCATCATTGGTGGTCGGGCATTCAGTATCTCTGCCCCCACACTCTGGAACTCTATCCCGCAAACCCTTCGCCTCACCCCCTCTCTTGCCTCTTTCAAGTCCCGTTTGAAGACTTTCCTTTTCGACCGTGCCTTTGGCCACCCCCCACTCCCACTGGCCTCCTCCCCTTCTGACCCCAACTCCTAGCTCAGGTCCCAATCCCCTGATTGTCCAGCACACTGGGAATGTCTTTCCGACGTGATGGGCGCTATACAAGTGTAATTTGTTGTTGTTGTACTACGTTTTAATTTGCTTTCCTTATTTGGGTCGGTGAACCGCGTGCATTCCCTCAGCTGTAACAAAGCACCCTCTACTTCTGCTACTGCAGTTAGAATTGCCTCTTTGGGCCAATTTTAACATTTTAATTTCTTCAGTTCGAAGGCTTTGCCTGTACGAATCTCTATACGCTAAATACTCTATTTCTTCATCAGACTCATCACTGATTTTTACACTAATGACCCCGATTCTCTCTTGAGTTACTGAATTGGTAGTAGCTACGCCTCGTTCATATAGCCATTCCCTCATCAGAAGTGTTTCTCCGTGTTAACCTTGTATGTTTTGAGGAACGTGGAATGTTGCTTGTTAGCTATTTGTCCTGGACCCTTGCTGCATTTACCATCATCTACCAGATGTGAAAGGCTATATCAAATGTAAGGATTATTATTATTATTTTAAAGTAAACTACAGCTGAAACTAGGACACTACTTGCCCAGCTCATGCAAAAGTGCAGAGACGGATTATAATGTTCCTAAAATGATAGTTATTTTTTCCAACTTTAATAATAATAATAATAATCCTTGCATTTGATATAGCGCTTTTCACGTCGGGAGGACATCCCAAAGCGCTTCACAGAACACACACTGTAAAGTGAATTGACTGTATATTTGTGGGCGAACGCGGCAGCCAATTGCGCACAGCAATGTCCCACAAACAGTCGTAGATTGAAAGTGACCAATTTATTATTGTTTTTGGTTTTGGAGGGATTATTATTAGGCGTGTGGAGTAAGGAAACTTGCCCAAGGGTTCGCCCTGCCTGGAATTGAACTCAGGTCTCTCGCTTGCAAAGCGAGTGCTCTAACCACTGAGCTACAGGACTCCACAACATGTAAGGTACATTTTTTAGAAAAAAACATGAAACCTTGAAGTGCAGCTGGGAAATATTGTTCATGGCAAATTGTCCCAATGAAAGGTCACTTGCTCTGCCTTGATAAAACCACAGCCTTGAATTTTCTAGATGTATCAAAACAGACTCAAGGTAAATGTTCACTAGTTTCCATAAATAAGCGATTCTGTATTTAAACATCTCTATGGCAAAAGTAAAATAAGTGAAACAGATAATAAACAAGGCAGCAACATGCTACATGGGTTTGGATGCCATTATTTAGCATGACAACAGGTCTTGAGTTAAAGCCTGGATTGTACTCTCAAATATTCTTTTTGTCGTACTATAAATATCTTCATCTCAGTGGATAAATGCACTGAATAATATGACATTGCCCTTATGACTTGGAAGGTCTGAAGTTTGTATATCATTCTTTGTACAGTTACCTGATTTCAAGCGGCAATGCTTTGAATCCCAATACCCTACCCTTCCACAATACCCTCTTCATAC